ATACCTTCGAGACCGCCTTCTGCCGCAGATCACCTCCCATCGACCAGTACGCTCCCACAGGGTGGGTCTCCTCAGGGTGCCGTCAGCCAGGCAGTGCCGGCTGGCGACCCCGAGGGGGAGGGCCTTCTCTGTGGGAGCTCCCACCCTCTGGAATGAACTGCCCCCAGAGATCAGGGTTATCCCTGATCTCCCTTCCTTTAGCCGCGCCCTCAAGACTTGGCTGTTCCAGCTTGCAGGACTGGCCTAGGGTAATTTTTAGAGGGATTTTAATTATATTTTAAATTTGACAAATATTTAAATATTCTTTTTAATTAAATTTTAAATTGTACTGTTATTTATGTTTTTAATTGATTGTCAGCCGCCCTGAGTCCTACGGGAGAAGGGCGGGATACAAATCCAAATATAAATAAATAAATAAATAAATAAACTCCCAGAATTCCCCAGCCAGCGTGGGAAAGTTGAAGTCTATGAGTCTTAAAGTTACCACTTCAACTTCCAAAATTCCTCACCCAGCATTCTGTGAGTTGAAGGCCACAAGTCTTAAAGTTGCCAAGGTTGGACATCCCTGATTTACATTATTACATGGACGTTGAGAATCAGGCATGTGAGTTGAACCACGAAGTAAGATGAATTTTGTGGGAATGGGTTAGTTTAGAAGCACATGCAGTAAAAACAGGAAGAGATGGGATCAAAGATATCTGGGAAGAGAGAACAACGATGAGATTATTCAGTCACACAGAGAGGATGGCCGAGAATAAAATTGCAAAAGAAATACATGGAGGAAGAGTTTGTGGGTCCAAAGAAAGGGGAAGACAGAAACTCATGGTTGGGTGGAATGGAGGTGCAGAATTTCAAGGACCAAAGTCAGGAGGTGCACATTGTGGATGTTCATGTAAAATAGATTTAGAGTTCCTTTTCTTTTCTCCCAACTTCTGCTTCCAGTTTCGTTTGCCTGAAAGAGACTTGCATGTAGTTCTGTCTCTGTCCCACAGTGGCGATCAAAGCTTATCCTAAACTTTGTAAAAATGTCTTATTCTGATTAATGTCTCAGTGAGTAGCGAAGGTTCATTCCAATTTTGTTGTCCTGATCCTTCAAACCCAGCTGTCAGTCTAAGCTGCAAGCCTCATGGAAAACCTGGTTGCAATAGAGCTAACTATCATGGTTTGATCAAAGCAGGCAGTTACTTACACAGCTTAATACATGAGTGGAAAGGGGAGGAAGGAAGGTGCTGTGAAAATACTTTGGTTAACTGGAAATCTGAACCATCTTGCCAAGAAAAAAAAAATCTTTTTAAACCGACATCCAATTATGAAATTTAAAATAGATGTATTGAATGAAAGCCCGCAGTGCCACTCCTGTGTGTACTGATGCTGCATTCAGAAAATATAATTGTGGAGCTTGGCCCCTTTTTATCAAAACGCACAGCAGGGAAAGGCGACAGAGGTGGGGGAAGTGACAAACCACATAATTCAGATCATTGAGAGATTGAGATAATTATTTTTTCCCCTCCTGTGCAGAAGACTGCCACTGAACATGTTCATATTCATTAATTCCGTATATTTATGAACAACCAATGTCAATCACGATGGAAAGGGTGTAGAATGACTTGAGATCTGGAGAACTTGAGATCCGGAGGAGTGTAGAAGACATCAGGTCTTCAAAACACAGATATTGAAATGCTCAGGTACACAGGGTGGCGGATAATTTGAAGAAAGGATTTGGGAATGCTTATTATTTGTCCCCGAGAGATTCCCCCACATGGTGGCTTTTCCTTTTACCAAACCTGTGCGTGACTTTGAAGTCAATATGATGGAAAACATATCAAAACCATCAGGGAAAAATAGACTTCTT